GTTAACGAAGCCATTAAGCCAGAAATGGACTTCACCTAAGAGGATGATTTTTCATTTTACAGTAGCCAACGGAGAACGTGAATTTGCGTAATCATATTGGACAATTTCCAAGCATTATACCAAACTGAAACGTGGCATGATGAAATGACAAACCTTACTAGACACACTGACAAAATTTGATACAAATGCATAAACAAACATGGCCGCCACGAGCTATCAAAATCACGTCATCTCTATTGGTAGACGCTGTATGAATGAAAAATTTTGTGATAAGTTTGAAAGTGCGCACCAAATTTTTTGATAGTTAAGGTATTAGTGCTCTCCACCAAACGAAAAAATTCTTCTTTTGGTATTTTAAAGATTATTTGGCATATTTGGCAGTTGACACAATTAGATAACGCTTATAAATAAATAGAAATAGATACATACATATGTATGTACGTATATGTTTATAGACAATTCCATGAAATACGCATATACCGAAAAATTGATATTTTGTGGTTAGTTCGTTAAGTTTTTTAAACGTAAGCTTTTGTTATAATGCTTTAACATAAGTATGCAATTAATATTAATACATACGTACAAGTATGTGCACATATGTATGTATGTTATTTATAAGACCACTGTTGGGGAAAGTAGCGCTTTAAAAGAAACATAAATATGTATATATTTACAAATTGTTCAGTGATAAGAAAAATTATTATTGCAGAAAGATCGTAAAAGTAAATAAAGATAATGTTAAAGTCGCTAGCATCTCATTTGCAAAGTAATTAATTCGGTTCAGCAAATAATAGCAACAGAAAAACTAACTTTATCAGCCAGCCGAACGCTTGAATATTAATTATGTGACATACATACAAACATATGTACACATATACATTCAAATCTTTGCTGATATAGCCGGAAAGCAAAATATTATTAAAATCCCTGCAGCGAAGCATTTAACTAGTCGGCAAAGTTACCACAAAAAGAAGTTCCTTAATGAAATTAAACTAGTTAGAAAGTGGTTAGATTTAAGCAAATTTATTTACTAAGTTATTTTCGCTGTTCACGCGTTGCAAATTGAGCGAATCGAACAAGCTATACCAGATGTTCAAATAAACTGGGAGCATTTGTATGCAACCCTACGCTAACATGTCTGCTGACGCATGCGCAATTGTGTAATGCTTCTTTTTTGGTAGAGAAATAATTTTTACCGCGTCAAAACCCCTTAATTTGGTTTTCTCTAAACTATTATAAATGATTTCAAGTCTTAAGTTTTTAATATAAAAAAAAAAAAAACAAATTTGTATTTTGTCATTTGCGCCACTCACAAACGTAAAACAAAGCTTGCTAGCATTGAAGAAAGTTATACGAGTACATATGTGTATGACTTTAAAGAGTTAACCGCTACTCTCTTGTACGAATCCAACTCGATAACTATCTTGTTACTTTTACATGATAATTTTTTGACAAGAGGAAAGCGCGCTAGAATAGCAAGCAGAGAAATGGCGAATGAAAGACAGCTTTTATTAGAATAGAGATTTGTTGTGCTACATAAACAAACTAGAGATTTATTTTGTCTACTTATGAAGTGGTATGTTTATGAGCGATGTTTGACAATTGCGAACTCGTAGAAAGTACGAACTGATTGTGTGATTGCGGTTCATACTAGTTGCAAAGTATTGCATATGTAACCAGTTGTTTTGACTGCCGGGATTTTACTACCTAACTACACGTTGTGTATATAAAACATTAATGTACAGATATTTGCGGAAAATTGATACCGTTTTGCGGTCGTACCACTCACTATCACTTTGTATTGTTGTTATTATTGGTTTTGTTTTCAACAGTCCGCATGTAAAATGCGTACATTAAAAATATTCGCTTTGTTTATATACGGTACTCTCGATTTTAGTTTTTAAGGCAATTAAAACGAATCGGGTGGAGATTAAATCGAAACTTCAATCTAAAATACATATAATCTGTACAGGAGTATATAACTTACACATGTATAGTTTATTTATACGAACTATTACAATATGCAAATGTATACACAAAATGTTCTCAATACATGCATAAGTAATGTGTAATATTTTAGAATGCCGTAAAAGTCGTTTATTGGGGTGGCGTAAGTCACAAAAGTATTTATCTGGTCACACATGTGAAAATCTAATATTTAGAATTTAAAAGTTAAATTTAAGTATTGTTGATTTATTTTACAATGACATTTGTCAGACACCAGCAGGTAGGGTTGCTTTGCTTTTAACGGCGAAATGTCGGTTTGTTAGCTAATAGCGAAATGTATGAGATTGCTGCTCATGAGAAGTACTACAAACAAAGGTATACAAGCTGATCGAATTTGACTCGGACTATTCATTTAAACTGCGCGCGCAAACCGAATCAATACATTTTTTTTTAGATTGATACAATATTTTTAGGTTCGTGTAAAGTTGGAGCTCCATATGTTAATTAGTGTGTGTTTGACAGCTGTTTGTTTACGACATGAAAATTTTGTTTGGCGATTTTGACGATGTAAAAAATTTAACAACGAGTTTGCTTGAAATTTTGTGGTTTCTATGGAATTATGGCTACGAAATCGTTGAAAACGGCGCAAAAGTGTTTTGCGGAGTCTGCTTTATCACGAACAGAAGTACAATATTTGAGTGTCACAAAGCATAAAGAAGCATGCTCGTCGTGAAGACATTGAAAACGACGATTACATCGAAAAAGTTAAAGAAACAGTACTTGAAAATCGCCGTGTTGCTAACAGAGTGATAGGAAAGGATCTCAACATCTCTTATGGATCCACTCAACACATTTTGCTTAATGTTTTGGGTATTAAGCGTGTCAATGCTGGACTCGTAGCAAAAGACCTGAAACTTTTGCAAAAACGACGTTGAATAGGAATGCGAAATAGTTGCTGAGAACCCTAAATTCATCAATCGCATCATTACTGGTGATGATGCGTGGGTTTATGAATATGATTTCAAAATTGTCCCACAATCTTGAGAACGGCGCTCCAAAAATTAACCGCAAAAACCAAAATTCGCTGAAGGCACTGCAGACTATTCCAGCCGAGTTTATAACAAGTGTATGGAAAATTGGATTAAGTAGCGTTGGCATGTTTTGATTGGCTCGGGTGCCTATTTTGAAGGCCATAATAAAGATTTATATTAAAATAGCTAAACTGTAGTTTCTTTTCAGTCCTGTTCAAATTTGATCAGCTAGTATACTTTTTCGAATCACTTAACAAACGAAGAAAATATTCGCTTAGAAAGACACAACGTAAAAAAAGACTATTTAGCAGACGTCAGCAAGATTTAATTGTTACTATAATTGGTTTTTCTAACGACTATTTGCCGAAATTACGTACGAACAAACATACACACATATTGTGTAAATTAGCAGCAATTTAAGTGGTCAGCCAACGCAAGCAAACGACTACTTATATGTGAACTGTTCAGCAATAATGGCAATAAGAATGGTTGTAAATGAGTTAAAAAGTACCGACAAATACTATACACCTAAACAAGTATGTAAGCAACGCAAATATGCAATAAATTGAATGCAAATAGTAAAAAAACACGTGCTGCAAGTTCGAATGTAAGATCAATGGATCACTGAAATGAAAGTTTTTTGCATATAAGAGTTTGTATGCACGTAATTGCACGTTTCCTCCCAAAGCGTCTAATATGTCAAGCATTGTACAAACAGCCTAATTTGAATGTCCGGCACATGCATATTTATATGAATGTATTATGCATTGAATAGCGATCACGTGTCACGATCAATCAATTTTCACATTTAAAGCGACTTTATGTGGGCAGCTCATTGTGAACGTGTGGCAGAAAACAAACCGGAATGTACAAGGACGCATGCAGTTGCATGGGCAACAGTAAATATGTTTATTATAAATATATACATATGTAAATAAGTAAATCGAATATTATTTTGTGGTTTACTGTCTGCCCACCTCATATGTACGGACAATATCTTTTGGTAGAGCATTTTTTTAGGTTTCATCATATTGCTAAATATATTTAATAAAAATAGATTTAATTACATTTTATCAAGAGCCACTCTCTGATAATAGATATCAGTTAGTTTTTGTTGCTTTTATTTTTTAATTGCATGCATTAAAGCACAATAATGCGTAAATGCAAACTGGAGTACTCAATAATCAACTGCGCGGTATCAATTACCATAGAATTATAACGCACTGTGGTTTGACTAGTACTCAAATATCGAGGTAAACAACAGGTGTCATAATATACACACGTTACTCAGTTGTTTTCAGCAAAACATGCTATTTAAATAATTGCATTTGGTTTACTTTAGTTATATTGACAGACTTTTACAATTTACTCGTTAGGAATGGCTGGAAATTAAGTGGCACAGCAGCTAAGAACACAGCATATTAGCTGCATTTATTTGCTACCTAGATGCACACCCAGTGTGAAATTAAAAAAAAATTAAAATAAATATATAAAAACATTTAATAAATAAAAAATATATTAATAAATAAAAAATAATAAATAAAAAAAAAAAATTAATTAATAAAAAAAAAAAATTAATAAATAAAAATATAAAAATTAAAAATAAGATAAAAATGAATAGATAAAAAATATAAAAAAGCCATATTTCGATAGGTTATACCTTTAAAAATAACATACTAAAACTTTAGATCGATATTTGAAATAGTTTTTGAGTTACAGCCTTTTAAATTGTAGCCGCTCAGTTTAATCGACTGCATTAGTTTATCATTAAACGCGCTTTTCTCAAATATGGTAAAAAGCCATGATCTATGGTTTACAATATTTATGTACATTTTCAAACATAACCGCTAAGATGCGTTTCTTAGAACTTTCTTAAGTACACAAAAAAACATTTTCAACCTGTTTTTAATATCACTTCAGTCTCACGCTGTGCCGGCATAATTTTGTAGCAAACACAGTTAAATTGCAGTAAGGCTTCAGGCATTTACAACATATTCATTTATTCTTTTTTTGCAAGTGTAGCTGATGGCACTGGCTTTGTTCGCAAGTAATTGTTCGAAACGCACTGTAATGTACCTGTTGGGTAGAGCTGAGAGGTTAGTGATGGCAGCTATTTCTTCGTGTTTGGCTTCCTTAGTTCGCATTTCACATTTTAGGGAGGGAGATCATTAAATATTTTTCGGTCGTCTGAAGGACAAAATGATAATCAAAGATTGTGTTGCACCGAATCGCTTCAACTATGTATACTGCTATTTAACGGCACTAAATTAACCGCAGTTAACATAATAACATTTGCTGTAATGTAAAGTCATACGAAACTTCGAAAATATTAGCAGATGTACAGTATTTGACGGTACTTCCGCTGTTAATATCCATTGATGAAATGCATGTTGTGTTACAGCATTAACTTAACCTAACCAACTATTTTAAATAATTTTTTCCGTAACTTATGTTTTATATTTTCAATTGTAAATAATAAACGAGCTGTTATTTTTTATTAAGTTACATGTAAAATATGGCTACCATTGGTATCCAATATAAAGTTCTGTGAAAAAATGTATGTGCTAGAAACCTTACAAAACTCTGTAATAATAACTGTTGGATTTTAATATGCTTTTGAATATAGGTATGTATGTATGTTTGACATTTGACTTCATCAATGTACGAACTTTTTTATTTAACATTTGATGCTTCATGATGCCGATCAGGTTTGCACTTAACATTATTGTAAGTAAAGGAAGTGCATGTCATACAGGTATACATAATGTGCATATTTTTTTCAAATATAAATTTTAAAAAATTCCAGGTACACATTGAAAAGCAATGGCAGACATGCGTTTGCCATAAGCGAAGCCGCAAAATTACATGCAACACGTACAGTCAGGTTCACAACTATATAATAGTGGCAAGGTGACAACCACTGCAATATATGAAAAGCGTACGTGATGTCAAACTGGCATACTATTTACACTATTTACACCTGCACATGCACATGGCGAACAATAGACAGGCAATGAGCGGCGTCTATAGAAAACGTAGCTCGTAACGTCTACGGGTACTCGTAAAGAGAATTAGCTAAACAAACTTAATGTATTTATATACACACATATAGCAGTACTCGTCAAATTGTTGTGTCTAAAAATAGTAAAGAATTAATCATACATTGATTTGTTTTTATACATAGCCAAGTCTATCGCACAGCGCGTGGAACAGTGATGAAATACAAACACTTCACTCGCTATCAAGGGGCTTGCTAAAAACACGATGCCGGTTTACTACGCAGTAAGCAGAAATTGATACGCGTTTGTGTTAAAGTGGGGCACATCAAAGGCAGTATTGAACATATGTACATATGTACATAAGTATTAGAGAACAAAAAACAAAATTATATATGTATATAAATACATAAGTATATATACCAACATGTTGATTTTTATTTATGCTATAAATTTCAGTTTTACGTGAGCGAAAAACCAAATAATGTAGAGTATGTATATGTTTATGTACGTTAGTGTGAATGTAGATGCTTAACCAGTTGAAGCACGCCCATAAATATGTGCCAAATATACCGCATATGCTGAAAAAAAATATCGCTAAAAACCGGCTGTGATATGTTTTATTATATATGTACACAGATATTCAATTGCAAACATACATAAATAAATCAATTATTTTTAGAGAAGAAAAAATTGACAGTTAAGTGGCAGTAGAAAAAAATTATGAATGAATTATTATGAAAAATGCGGTTGAACTAGTTTTTAGACTCACTGTGGGCGAAGCAAAGTTGGTAATTATAAATTATGTGTGTAGATATATAAATAGTTTATACTATGTGTTTGTAGCGTTCAATAAACTCAGCTGTTAACAAGAAAATTAAGGTAAACGTAAACACGACTGCAAGTGCTGAAGAGTCAACGAGAAGTAAACAGAAGTCAAGTTGAAAAAAGCAAAAATAAGGCGTGTTGATAAAACAAAAATTTTGTGTACAAAGTGTTAGATGAAAATCGGAATGCCACAAAAAAAAATTGTTTACATTACGAGCGGCGACGTCTCAAGCAGTTGGTAGCAGATTGAGACAAGCGAAGGGGTCTAAAAACAAGCGCAACGTCAGTAATGTTTACACAAGTGAATAGACCAAAAGAACCAAAACTTAATAGTTGAGCAGTAAAAAATGAACATTGAAAAACACATGCTTTCAAGTAGAAAATCAATTTTTTTAAAATAACAAATACAGCAGCGGTAAAAATTGCCTCGTAATGTCAATAAATAATGCAATTGAACATTTACCATAGTAAGGGAAATACATTAGATGCGCTGACGTATGCATGTTATAAATACGTACATATGTATGTATGGATGCATATGTACCCTATGTGATTTGTTTAATTAAAAAACAAAATATTTGCATACAATAACTTCATTCAACTCGATACTTTTGTATGGCTACTATATGCTATAGTTTTCCGATGTGAACAATATATTTGGAGAATGTAGCGTTGCATTGGAAAATAAGAAGAAATTGATGTTGAACGATGAGTTGATATGGCAGCTACTATAGTGGTCATATATCAGCGTTTCCAACAAATGAGCAACTTGTTGGGAAGAAACGGACGTTAGCAAAATTTCAGATCGATATTTCAAAAACTGAAGAACTGAGTGTATACAGACAGACAAACGGACATGGCAAAATCGATGCCGCACATCACGCTGATCATGTATATATATGCACATACATATAACTATGATTTTCACTCAAAAGCTACTTTTAAATTTTACTATATAGTTAATTATAGTCAGTAATAATAATCTTTCTCCTAGAGGAACCTTGATTTAATTGTTATGGTGAAATTCATAAACCATCCTATAAGTATCTACTTAGCGTTATTTAGCAGTACTTAACATTTCTTACCTGTTTTTTGTGTTCTTTTTTTGTGCAAATCACAAACAAAATGACGAAGCTAAATTATTGTATTCACAAGTTTATTAGCACATCAAAAATGATACTAACAAAGCATGTGGAAAAAGTAAGTAGCAAGAAGACTGCGTTTTTAAATAAATAAACAAAGGAAGTATATGTACATCGACAGCTGGTATCCGATTGAAGGCAATAAAAACATTCACCATTTCAGGTGTATGAATGTATGTATATTCTACGTGAAATACGAAATCGACATAACAGATACACAGGCGCCAAATGGTAGGAAGTAAATGATGCGACGCATATAGCAAAAAAGAAAATATACAGATCAAAATTATAGCACAAAAGGAGAAAGGTTATGCATACTATAAAATTATAATTTTATTTTAATGTGCGTTCATAGTATTATTTACGCATTGTGAATGTTCAAGATATGAAAATGTTTTGATTATTAAATACATTTTAAAGCATACATAAGTATGTATCTATGTACATAATTTATAAACAGGTATTTAGTTATAATTAAATATTTAGTATACAATTTATAAGTATGTATTTAAAAAAAATATTAAGAATAAATGATTAAACAAATGTGTATGTATAAAAGTAAATTAATAAGAATAATTAAATATAAAAAAAAAAATGAAAATGCAGTTCACTCATGTAACAGCTTTATTTACGACGCAAGGCATTCAGAAAAATATACAAAGTAGTGCAGTATATAATTGTTTCAGAAATGTCTACAATTGTATTCATATATGTATGTACATACTCATATAGGTGAATAAACTTTCAATTTTTATTGTGAATATCCGAATTTAAATACATCCATAGGTGGAGGCTTTTTTTCACCTTTTGAGACTTTTTCGGACCACTATAGCATATAGTAGCTGAACGATGAAAATCAAGTTCTTGCATGGAAATTTCTTTTTCTTTCTTTTTCGCAACCGAAGGTTTTTTTTATTACAATTACTATTATAGTAAACAATAAAAAAAATTGCCTTCGATATTACATAGAACCTGCATTTGGAATATTCATGAACAAAAATTGTATAAGAAGTGGTTCGTTTGGTAAATAGTAAATACCAACAATGTACTTACATAGCTATGCATTAAATTATAGTATAAAGCTATGACGTCAATGGACGTAAATGCATTGTATATACGTACATAAGTTATATAATTCGTGCATTCGTACAGACGGAGAATTAAAGTGTGAAGAAGTAAAGGATGTGAGGAACAAAAACAATTATTATAGAACTTTGATAAAATATATTGCTAACTATTGAATCAGAAAAAGAAATATGAATACAAAAAATTGATTTTCTTTCTAAAAAATTATATCACCATTTGAATTACACAAAATGTTAAAACTCGCTTAACGCTCAACATGCTCATTATTTGAAGAACCTATCTGTTTATTTTGGAAACTTTTGTTTTGCTTTTAACTTCGTTATAAGAGCCATAAGTGACTACGTGCCGTTGCAAGAGCACAGTGTAACTGAGCTGACGTGTGTGTCGACAACATGAAAATGGCGTCAATACAAAGACGCAAAAACCGGAACCACAAGCAGATGCAGAGGTGGTGGAGTCCGACAGTCTTTCGAATGCGTTGCATATACATAAGTAAGTACATTTAGCTATGTACATGTTTATACTAAACAGAAAAGTCTAGCAAAACAAATGAGCTAAACCCAAATATATTATTTGCGGTTATTCGTAATACCAAATATGAGCAACAGCATTCAATATATACCTTAGAAATTCCTGTGTTTACCAAGGCAAGCACACAATTTTATCTTCTCAGTTCTCTATTTTACTTTCGCATTGTCCAAAATAGCGCCTGCGCTAACATCGTCTACTCTTGTTATGTTCTTTTCTAAGCTTGAATTGAGTTGGGAAAAACAAATGGATTATTATATATTCTATAGCAAAAACTGTATTGTTTTTTTAAGGCCTGTATTATGTAATGTGGTAAAAAAAAATAAAATTTGTATATTATTTAAGTAAATAATTTCGGGCAAATAAAAGGCATAGTAAACTGTAGTTCGCACCACACAATGACACTGCAAATAAGCGAAACAATACCAAATTCTAAACTATTCTACCATTGAAAAGTCAACAAATACAGAAGTAAATAAGAAAACGCAAATGCAAAAACATGAAACTAGATAAGTAATGGTAAGAAACTGGTATGTACCTATGTAAATAAAACACAAACACAAAGTTAGCCACGAAGAGATACTCGCTGGTTAGACGCCGTTAAAAGGTAAACAACACTTCAAAATACCAACTAACAACACCTAGCAAATGTAGTTGCTAAAAAATTGCCAGACAAAATGACGAGAAAGCTTTCAAAAATGGCTGCTGAGTTGAGCGGCTTCTAAAATAGCAACGATTTATTAATATCGCAAAGGCAAAAAAAAACATGGAATTGATTTGCGACTTTTACACAGATACTTCTTATGGACTTATTAACAATATAAAATACATGTATGCACAATTGTCCAAATACTTACCGCCAAGCAAATCTTCACCCATTTTTGGTGGAGTCGAGGTCATCTTGTTGGATTTTAGTATATGTGTGTGTGTGCTTTTTGGGCGCTTGATATACGCAGTCTACTTTTAATTCCACACTTTTTGTTTATTTATAAATGTATCACTAATCTGCGGACGGCTGGATATGTGCGTTATAAATCTATCTGCTTTGTAGTGAGCGTAAATACTTTTTTTTAGTGTTCGAAATGTAATTAAAACAAGTGAATACAATTAAAACTCTCAACCAAAGAAATTTTTCGAAGGAGGTGTCTAATCAAACCAATAATTTGGTTTTAATTTAGTTGAGGCTACCACTATTCAAACAATCCGTTTAATATTGAAAAACACGACAGTTTTTTAATTAAAAACTTTGCCTCAACTGGTTTTGCAGGCTTGTGCGAGCACTATTTTTCACAAAATAATTCTATTTTCAAAACTATAGTATGTAATAGAACTGATACTGCAATTTTACTTTTGTTTAGTAAAACGCCTATAATATCCCTAATGCGTTTTAAATAAAAGTGTTCGAAGCGATTGGTATATATGTATATATATATATCGCGATTTTTTAAGATTTCTACAAATATTACCGTTCGCGGCGAACGCAAGTCAACGAATGGCACGAAGCGACGACTTGTGCAAGGAACGAGCAAAATTTATTGAATTTATAAAATATGGCCATATAGATAAAAGAAAGTTTCCTAAAGACATGTTTACATGCAAGAAATGTAGAAATGTACACTCAATTTCATATAACAACTTGATATATTTTTATTTAGGTCTTTTACTAATTGAGGTATATTGTATACAAACTCTACAGTAAGTTAATAATTTAACTTATTAAATCTGGCAGCATTTTACTAGAGAAATAAGTTTTATTTATGTATATTTTTAATAACACGTAATTCAATTAGATTTTTTAATTATGTGTAAAATTTAAATGTTACAAACTATTTTTTTTATATATTATAAACAATTTGTTGGTAAACTTGCGTCGAATATCAAATCAACTTGTTATCGTTCTATACTTTCTGTGACATTCGTAAATATGCATACACACATACACAGCAGGGAATTAGCAGAAAAAACAACTAGCAAAATAACAAACGTGCCCTTTTTCTTTACCAGCACAGCAATTTGTTCCGCCTTCAATTTCGTTTCATAAAAATGTTTGTTAAGATTAATCTGTAAAAAAGACGACAGTTGAGTATCGTTGAGATCGAGAATTTAGGTTTGTAGCCGTTTTTTAGTACATAATTACAATAACTGTGGAATTACGGTGAAACATGAGAATCGCGGATGTGCTCCGCCGGTTGGATGCATATCCACGTACGCTCGAGGATTTTAGTGTGCGCACTGTAAGCGGTGCTGCGGGTAAATTTTTATTAAATTATAAAGAAATTCAGCAAATTAATTTCCCCATTTGATTTCAGTTACCTTAATCAGTACCAGCATCATTGTTATACTGATATTTCTAGAATGTATTGCCTATATGCGTCCGAACCTCACAGAGGAGCTGTTTGTAGACACTACCCGCAATCACAAGCTACGTATCAATTTGGATTTAACAATACACAATTTAGCTTGCAGCTGTAAGTAATTAAATTTCATTTACACGTTTGATTTACAATTATTTTTGTTTTTGTAGATGTCTCACTAGATGCCATGGATTCTTCAGGTGATCAACATCTACAAGTTGATCATGATATTTTCAAGCACCGTCTAGATTTAAAGGGTAATCCTTTGAAAGAAACCGAACCCATAAAAGAAATTGTTGCTGTGTCGCCATCAAATAAAAATAGCACCTGTGGTAGTTGCTACGGCGCTGAACATAATAGTACCCAGTACGTGTCATAGATATATTAAAAGATTTTTAAGGGGAAATTTGAAAGTTTTTCTTCCCATTTAGGTGCTGCAATACTTGCGAAGAGGTGTTAGAGGCTTATCGCCACAGGAGGTGGAATGTGCAATTTGATAAAATCGAGCAATGTAAGGACCAGTTTAAACGCAATGATATTGACGCATTTAAAGAAGGTTGTCGAGTGCAAGGCCACTTAGAAGTCAATAGAGTAAGTATAAGTGCCGATAAATGCAATAAGTGTAGTAAATGTTGTTTATAAACAAAATTTCAGATGGCGGGTAGTTTCCATATAGCACCTGGCAACAGCTTCTCCATTAAGCAATTTCATATACATGACTTTCAATTCTCCGATGTGAAGCTGGACCACACAATTAATCACTTGTCTTTTGGTGATAAAATTGAATTTGCCAAGACGCATCCGCTCGATGGGCTACATGTTGAATCAGACAAAGGTAAGTGAAGTGAAAATTCGCACATTTTTCAAACCAATCTGAAATAAGTTTTTATATCCATTCAATAATACCTTATTATTCGTTATTCAAAAAAAAAAATTTCAAAAACAAAAAAATATTTTTTTTTTAAATACATGTTTATTAATATGTAAGTAACTACTAAACTGAAGTCCATTAAATGATTACATAGAACTTAGTATTACGTAAAAATCCCGAAAATATGTTTGACATGTCGTTGTTACATGCATGCCTTACAAAATGATTTATTTTAGCAACGAATACCGGTACCAATAGCCATAAATGTACCAAATGTTCCTCCACCCTGCAACATTACTTTTCCCACATTGTTTATTAACTCACGTCCGCGCAAACCATACCTGCAAAGTAGACAAGTTATTAAACTCCCAAAAAATTTATATTTGTCCGAATTGAAATCTTTGAGCCGCATTTTGCTAGCCCATTATGTAATTAAATGAAGTTGCATCAGCCGCTTTGTTTTTAAGCCCAATACTAACCGTAATGCGGAGAAGCCGCCAAAGAGTGCACCACTTGCCATGCCCACGCAAAAGCCAATTGTGAATCCAGTCTTCATTTTATCAAAACATGATGGGCCTTGTGCTTGGCCATAAACACCACTAGGCAAAGGCATTATATTTAGATGGATATATTACTTTGATTAGTAAGTGTGTTGCACTTGAAATTATGTTTTTGTTTATCGGTAGACAAAAGTTAATTTTAGTTTGTCCAAATTAAAGCGTAAAATTATATATTCGCAAATCGTTTTGTTGTTTTCAACCGATTTTATGACTTCCAGAATTTCTTCCATGCAAATTACACGCGATTTCGTACGGTGCCGTTTAATTTTTTTGTGTTAGAAATGTCATAATGACAAAGAGAAAAATGACAGCGAATGTGCGATACTGAGCAGAAAAACCACAGAGAACGACAAAAATAAATCACCGAAAATAAATTTAACATTCTGCGCTCAGGTTAGCAGTAAAAATTTAAAATTTGTTAATTATCCTTAATTATATTTCTAAACGATTCAATATTAAATATATTGTCAATTTTTAAGGAAAGTTTTGTACAAGTTAATAACTCATGGTAAAATTAGTCTAATGAGATTGATTAATGCACAGCGCCCTCTAGTTGTGACATATTGTAATTTGGAGAAGAAACAGTAAATTTAAATTTTGCACTTCCTTAATAATTTTCGAAAGATATAATTGTTTTTGTAAATATGCATATTTATATATTTTCTTTATAGATGTAAAGAGTGAAATGTATAATTACTATTTGAAAATCGTGCCTACAATGTATGCAAAAGTGAAGAGCCCACCCATACATACCAACCAGTTCTCAGTGACGCGCTACAAGAAGGACCTTTCGAATAGGGAGCGTGGGATGCCGGGCATTTTCTTCAGCTATGAATTATCGCCATTGATGGTAAAATATGAGGAAAAGCAAAGGTAACACCAAAAATTTTCCTTTTTCTTTTTGAGTTCATGACTGAATATTTTTCTACGTAGATCGTTTGGTCACTTTGCCACGAATTGCTGTTCTATAATCGGTGGGGTTTTTACTGTGGCCGGGATTATTGCCGTCTTCCTGAACAGTTCGTTAGAAGCACTTCATCGTAAATTGGAAATAGGAAAGCTGAGTTAACAAAAAACGCGATGCGCAATATTTTTTACGAAAATTTTCAAATTTATTACATGAATTTACCAGACTGCAGGTTATAATTATAGACCACTCACGACTAATTGCCGCTTCCTTTTAAATACATGCGTATATATGCCTTTGGAAGCATTTGCGTGCACATTCCGGTGCTATGTTTTTTAAGAATCTCTTCAATCTATTATATGAGCTTAACTTTATGCTTGGACAATTCTAATTTTTGTTTCTATCAATTTGTATTTTGCTTCTTCGTGTACATGTTCAATATTTTTTGCTGTGTATGATTAATTTTATAATATTGACTATTCAAAAGGTGTACATTTTGTGTTATGTTTTAGCTCAAATTCGCATAATATAATATTTATATAATATTCAATATCTTTTGTTTTTATTTTAAACTTTATGTGGTACGTTTGCCTACAGATATGAAACCAGATGTATTGGAAAAGTACTTAGCATTATTCTCAGTTTGAGATTTCTCAGCCGCTTGTGGATTTACGATTTCCAAACCTTGCAATGGTGTAAAAGCGACACTTGAAGCTGTACCAGAAATTTGTCGTTTCACAGTAGTGCTTCCACCGTAGACCTGCTGTTTCTGTAAATTCTTTTGTAGCGTTTTGCTAATTCGCACCTTGGTTTTTTCATCAACTTGTGGTAAACGTATGCGACCGGTGCCAGTTTTGCCAATTGTGCCGCGCGAATAGCCCAAATCCCCTTGGTAGGCATCCTCTTCGATCTAAAAAGTGTTTTGTTTTTAATCAACTCATAATTTGCAATAAATTTCGAAATCTGCCCACTTACATCACCAAAGTTCATGCGATTCGCTTGTTTGCGGAATTCAGTAAGAGCATAACGCTCCTTCATCTTACGCACACGTTTGCCACCACGTTTTTTCTTGCTACCCTCGATGGGCTTACTTAATGGTTTGATAAATTTGACTGGCGGTGGTTCCTGCAACTTATCCAACTTTTTTTCAATATCCTCCTTGAACTTTAAGCCTACTTCGCCATGCACACTCTCATGGCAAGCATCAACACGTGCAGCGAGTACAGCCTTAGCTGCAACTAAACGTGCCGCTTTTCGTCTGAGATCCTGTAAATATATAAGAGATGTCTGAGAAACGTCAATAATGAATATTTTATAATATCTACTAACCGGTGGAGTATCTTGCACAATCTGTGAGAAGTAAACGTAGCCGGTATGTGGTAGCATTTGTGTTTTGGAGAAACTATAAATATTTAAAATAAGCCAAGGTAGTAACAAAAGTACTATAAATCATTTACCCTGCTAAAGTTTTCTTTTGTGAGCCCAATACTTGCACGTTACAAGCAGGCATTTTCGAAAGCTTTGTTAATCCGCCGGCAATACCCAGTAATTTTGCTGCGGTCGATGCACCAATGATCATTGATAAATTGGGTGCAATAAAGGTCATACGACTTTCTACGTATTCGTAAATATGAGATTTGTAATTATTTAAATCAATAGCCATTTCACAAGCTTCATCAATCTGTGCCTTTTCGGTGGGGGTCAACTCAGTGCTAAAAATACAAAATATTATTTGCTGTATTTTATAAGCTATGAATGTAAATATTCAGACTTCCACTTACCCTTGCGTGGTCGAAGCTGTCACTGAAACGATCATTATGGTTGCCTGCGTTAAAATGGCTTGCAATTTCTCATTATTCTTTACTTGGTCTAGATCATTGCCCAATTCCTTTACCGCATACAAATATTCAATTTCGCCAACAATCAACGAGTCTAATTCAGGAAAACGTTTTTGGTATTTCTCTTTGGAAAATTTGTGTATAATGGCTAAAAAAAATTAAAAGGTCATTTTAACTTCAAAATTCAGCAAAATAATTTACGTGCTAATCTTACAAATTTCATTATCGATATCAACCGCAATTGCATTGGCTTCAACAATTAGCTGATACTCTGGATCGGACTCCACATTTCCTAGCATCTCCGCAGCGGTACGCTGTCTACTTCCATACTGCTCAATTTGTTTTAGCACGTACTGTAGGCGTTCAGAATCACGCAATTTACAGAGATCTCTGATGGATTGTACCTGCACATCAACTTCCATTAGGTTAAGTTGTGGCTTCAGTAGCTTTTCTGATATCTCTTGTGGTTTTTCTGGCTCATCTTCTTCATCCATCTGCACGAAATTGCGTTTATTGTTGTAATATAAAGTTGAAATTTTTTACTTACATTTTGTAACTCGTCCAAATCGTTATCATTGTCTTCTTCTAGATCAGCTAGCAGTTCATCGGCTAAAGACATTTTAAAAAGTTTAATTTATATTTAAAAACACTATACTGTATTCAATAATTGTTGAAAAACGTTTACAACGCGTTGTTTGACAACTAATAACGAAACAGCTGTATTTTGGCATTTGCTTGCGTATGTAAACAAAAACATTAGACTGTGTTGCCAAGTTCGTATTTGAAAGCGTTATAGAATTAATTGTACAAAGAGAATTATTGTTACGTTTTTATTAAGTTTAGTTTAGGTTATAATTTCTTGTTCAAATAAACGGTAAAGATTGTTATTTATAAAATTGTAATTACTACTCATATATATACGTGTTTAATAAAAATGGGGTAGTGCTATTAAAGACATTTCAGCGAGGTATCACTGTAACGCAGAAATTCAAATGTCATCAAATTGCGCGGGTCTTTATCGCATTATGCGAAAATAAAACAAAAGCTTTGATTTTGTTTTGCGCAGGACATCATTTTCTTCCCAGTTGTCTAGGTGATATAATTAATTCAGAGAAAAATGTCGAAGAAATTAAATAAAAGTGGTAGTGCCGGTACGCCTAATAATAATCTCTTTAAGTACTTTTCGCGTTCACCACGAACGCCAAATAATATACCCAAAACACCCAGTGAGGAGGAAACCAAAAAATCTGCAGCAAAAGCGGAGAAGGAGAACTTACAAACTGGACGTGGCAATGAAGATAATGAACCTTTAGCTAAACGAAAGTTAGATGTTGGGGCTAATCAGAGCAAGCGTAAGAGTAATGCAATGGATGTTGATGAGGACGATGAAAGTATTATAATTAAACGTCCAACTTATAAAAGACATCGTATAATATTGTCCGATGATGAAGAGGAAATCAAAGTGAATAAAAACGGAAGTAGGAAGAATAATAGTGGCGATGACTATAAGCCAAGCGACGAGGATAACACATGTAGTAGTGAAGACGATGATTCGCCAACAGTTGCTAAAACCCATACTAAGGTTGACCATATATCAGGTCCAACATATATCTTCGGAGTTGTTTATTAATCTATTTATTTACTTTTTTAAGAAAACTGATGAACCAACGCAAAAAAAACCGAAACGGGAAAAGAGTAGTTTCATGGAAAAGTTATCAGCTTTGCAAGCCTCAGCAACTATCTCAGATGCCAAAGCGACTGCCAAAAATGATGCAAAATATGAGAAAATTGTGTGCACAACGTCCACATTGGACGAGCCAGTAGTGTGGCCACATCAAAAGCTTGATTTTTTGCAGCCAGATAAAATAAAAGATAAGAATGGCAGACGCCCCGACCATCCGGACTATGATCCCACTACATTGTATGTGCCAGACAAATACTTGAACTCTTTATCCCCTGTTAGTAGTGGCAAAAATATACTTTTAATATTTTCATGAATTCATTGATAATTGGATAAATTTTCAGGGTGTGCGCCAATGGTGGGTCTTGAAGTCAGATAACTATGATTGTGTGCTCTTCTTTAAAGTGGGAAAATTCTATGAGCTATATCATATGGATGCGGAAGTTGGTGTGCAAGAGCTCGGTTTCGTCTATATGCGTGGAGAATTCGCACATTCCGGTTCGCCGGAAGTAAGCTTCGACAAAATGTCTAGTATACTCATTGACCGCGGCTATAAAGTGGCACGTGTGGAACAAACTGAAACAACCGAAATGATGAGCGAGCGTTGCAAAAAGATCAAACCTACGAAATTTGATAAAGTGGTGCGTCGAGAAATATGTCAGATATCCAATCGAGGTACACAAGTCTTTGGAACGCAATGTCAGATAACACCACATTACCAGCCCAATTACATGTTGGCTGTGGTCGAAAAGGTAGTGGCATTTAAGAATTAATTTAATATATTAATGTTATATTTTGCTATATATATTTTTTGTATATACATTTTTTTTTTGTGTTTGATTTTATATATTTTTCTAAATATTTTTTTATATAAATTTTTATTTTATATTTTTATTTTATATTTTTTTAAATACATATATATTTAAAAATTTATTTTTTTTTTTTTGTTTTTAATATTTTTTT